GCTCATGCATGCACACGGATTTCCACCCAAAAAAACCGTTGTTTTGCTGCTAGGAAGCCTCTGTTGCACAGTTAGAACACTTGCACTATTTTTTACCTTAAAACCAACTCTATTCCATTTCAAAAAGCCACTGCTAGATTTTGCAAAGGTGGCCGACAGGCCAAAAGTGGTGGCCTGCCGGCCACTGATTCTTGGTTCTTCCTGCTTCAGCAGAGAACGAACAAAGCAAGAATAGGATATTCTCAAGAATTGTTTGTACAACTTACCCCTCCTTATCATCAATCAGCTCAGAGGAGTAGTAAATTTGATTCACAAGCCATCAATCGATGCAATTTCATTGCGTGATGGCCAATGAACCAAAGTGTACAAAATCAATAAATGCAACAAATAAAGGCTCTCAAACCTCCTCCCTATCATGGATTAATCAAGGGAAGGGGTTGACAATGACTCTTGAATCGTTTACATCACTAACAAGTATGAAACGATTCAAGACTCAAGGGTTTAATTAATGTCCTATTGAACCCAAACCAAATTATTATATTGCATCATTTTTTAGTCCTCATTTTATTACCCCATTTTAATTACCAAACATTCCTTAGAAAATTAAGTCTAAAGGTGAGCTTTAAGTCCTCTAATGAAAAGAAGCATCAAACCAAGAGTTGTTTTGGGCATGAGAGAAGTGTCATGCCGTTGGTTATGAACCCCTAAAAGGATTGAACCATTAAGCATAAGATCTCAATCTCAAGCTTTAAATAAGCAACTAGTTTGAACCAACTTTCAAAGCAAAGCAAAAGCCAAGAAAGAAGTGAGGTTGCAAAAGTGATTAGGGGTGAAAATAAGTATGGAAAACCATAAACAAATGCTATCAACTCAAATAGGTTAGTGGCTAAAGCCTAAACCACCAAACCTATGAGGACTATTACACTATAAGAATGCAATACAAGGCTCAAATGCAATGAACCACTAAAAACAGTCCTAAAACAGTCCTACAACATGCTAGAATTAAGACAAAAATAGCTAGAACAATAAAGTAAAATATGGAGCTATGTAAGCTAGTAAACAAAGCATAAGGAGGCGAGGTTGCCCCCTTCATTTTTGGACTTCAAAACATTTTTTTAGCCACCGAAAAAGCTCTGAAAATTAGTGTTTAAAAGCTCAAAGAAAGATAGTGTAAAGGTGGGAAACACAAGGGTAAAGGCTAGAGAAGCAAGGTGGAAAGAAAGGTGAACCACCCCTCCACCCTTTAAGGCCTTAAACCACAAATTTCAGGCCAAAATTATAGAGTTTATACAGCCCCAAAAAATTAGAAAAATAGTAGGAAAAATAAAAAAACAAACCAAGGAAACAAAGCAGGCTTTATATCTCTTGAAGAGTAGAACACTTCTAAGCAACAATTCAACACATACACACCCTCAAGAGCTCAAAGTAGGCTCGTTTTAGCCTACTTGCAAGTAGCATCTTCAAAGCACTTTCGAAAAACAAACATGAGATGTTTTGTTCCAATTTAGGCGATCTAGTCTATACTTGTGTGTTGTGCACATCACATAGTAAGTTAGCTAATAATCAGAATAAGAACACATGTGTTTTCAAAAACAACATATCATGCTTAGGAGAGGTCGATCCTTTGATCGGGCGAGCGGGGGTGCTCATTTCAGGACCTTCCCCTCTCGTACCCAAGTTCCCGAGCTGAGGCAACTTTGGTGATGACGGACATGTGGCCTTA